TAGACTACTAAAAATACGAACGGAGACAGATAGATACAGAAGGATTAAGATAGATACTAAATATATATATATATATATATATATATATATATATATATATATAGAGGAGAGAGAGAGAGAGAGAGAGACGTAAATCTGAAATAGATAGAACATATAGATACATAGACAGATAGATAGGAATAGACTGATATATATATATATATATATATATATATATATATATATATATATATATATATATATATATATATATATATATATATATATATATATATATATATATATATATGAATAGACTACTAAAAATACGAATGGAGACAGATAGATACAGAAGGATTAAGATAGATACTAAATTATATATATATATATATATATATATATATATAGAGAGAGAGAGAGAGAGAGAGAGAGAGAAACTGAGATAGATACGTAAAATCTGTGATAGATAGATATATAAATAGATAGGAATAGACTGAGATAGATATGAATAGACTGCGAAAAATACGAACGGAGCCAGATAGATACATAGATAAAGAAAGATTAAACTAAATACATAATTAGATAGATAGGATAGATATATACAAATAGACTGAAACAGATACGTAAAATGTGAGATAGATAGATATATAAATAGATAGATAAGAATAGACTGAGATAGATATTGAATAGACTTAATTAGATACATAAAATCTGAGATAGAGAGATAGATACGAAAGGTTTTAAATACATACATAGAGTTAGATAAATAAGTTTGACACTTGTCTAATTATTGGAATTTAGATCTGAAACTTTCACTCTATAATGTTCTAATGTAAATTCAGCATTGAATTTCAAAAGAACGAGATTATGTTTTGCTGTGTATATAAAACATTTTTGTTTCTATTAGATTACGGACTTACTCATGCAACTTCATACTTCGATAGATTAAAAGACAGATATACAGTGAGATAGGTATGAACGGGTTGTGACAGACAGACAAAAGTGTGCGATATATGTAGGTAGTCGGAGTGAGATATGAACAGACAGATAGACAGACAGATGATATCTGTTCGGTTTCGAGCATGCGCACTTAAGTGAACCGTTCTTTGGCTCTTTTCTGAGCTATCAAATAGCTTCCTGGACACGCAGTTATTTTGGTAATAAATAAGCAAATGCTGCAGATAGGTTCGGTGTTAACTTGGGTGGACTGACTTTTCAAGCCAGCATATGATCAGTTGCACACACAGAGCCTTTTAGTTTTAGCTGCTGGTTAATTTCAGGCCGTCTCGTTTGTTCATTCCCACTATGGCGGCTTCATGTGTTTCACAAGACCTAATCTGGAGAGAAAAACTCGACTACACACTGGACAAATATGTCTTGGAGTAAATTCTGGGTTAGAAATATTCTTCATTTTCCTGGCGTTCTTTCTGGTGTTTTCGTACCTCGTTCAAGAAATCAGAACATTTTTTAACAAGATTTCTACCAATATGATCTCTTTGAAAGTAAATATCTGAAATCTACAGGATTTAGTCCTAATAACCGCGTGTTGTATTGAATGAAGGTCTTTATATCGCTTTTTCGGTGAATGCCTACCACAAATCAGTTTTCAACGGTAATGTCATTCATTTGGTAGCCTACATTCACCCACCGTTCGCACCATATAGATACATAAATGGGAATATTCTATGATATATGATAAGACGATTAAAACGAGAGTATGTTGAAAAGATTTTGGCGTGACCAAGAGACCTTTTCAAAAAAATTTTTCTGAAGTCTTGTAATTTGACCAGATCTTTGAAAGTGGGTCGGGTTGAGCACATTACAGCACATCCTCGTAAATATAGGTATAATCACGAGGAAGAGTGGCAAGGGAAGGAAGAGAACTGCATGTCATTAGCTAGAAAGAGGAATGATTCGTGGAAGTGAACATGTTTCTATGATAGCGCGGACAGGTGGTATTCAAGCAACGGAGAGCTCATGTGTAAGTAAATATTAACAAGAAGAGAATAAAATAATGGCTGTGAGAAAATGAAAGAAAAAGAAATAACGAACGAAAACGAGAGAGAAAAAGAAATAGAAAGAAAGGGAGAGAAAGAGAACTGTGGGTGTCAGAAAGGGTTCGGCAGGTGAAAGCCATACGAGAAAAACGAGGGATATAATGAGAGAAGGAAATAGATAGGGTTAGAGTGTGTGTGTGAGAGAGTCGGACAGAGATGACAAAAAGAGTCCACGGCAGAGAGATGGGAAATTTGTTGATCTCTATGTAGTGGACTCTTCTGGTGACGTATAATCTCTCCTCTCTCTCTCCTCTATATATATATATATATATATATATATATATATATATATATATATATATAATGAAATGGACTAAGTCCAGCAATTATTTCAATATATTTTCTATTTATACGTTCTTTTTATAGATACAAATATTTAAGTAAATACTCTGTTTAAAACGACATTTACCGGCCTGAATGTTCGAGAAATTTAATAGAAAATATTTTTTGTTCTTCGAAAGGAATCGAAACTCTACCCTACACGGAACCGTCATATAGCCTGATGTGCTATACCATTTAGCCACAGAGGAAGCGTCTGGTTAGCAAGGTCGAATTACTGCTTTTAAACTACAAATTTCCCATGATTTCCCTTGAATGCTCATATTTGCTGGAAGCATATTTTGATTTAAACAAAAGACATGGTGTATTATGATAGTCAGACAGTTATTTGAATATATTTTTTGTATATACGTTATTTTTATAGATACAAATATTTAAGTAAATGCTCGGTTTATAATAAACAGTATTAACAACATGTATCAACCCGAATGTCCGAGAAACAGGATATTTACTGAAATATTTGTATCTATAAAAATAACGTACAAACAGAATATATATATATATATATATATATATATATATATATATATATATAAAAGAATTATTTTAATCCACCAATTTTATTAATGGTATTTTAAATAATAATAATAATAACAATAATAATAATAATAATATATATATATATATATATATATATATATATATATATATATATATATATATATATATAAAGACAACAGGAAAACTGTAATATTAGTCGATGCGTTTTGTCCAATGTGGACATTTTCAAGGCAAAAGGAATGAATCTATTAAAACAAACTAACTAATAATAATAAAACAAAATGTCCTTAGTAATTGGAAGAACTTAGAAAACGCTATTTTTGTTTTGTTATTATTAGTTACTTTGTTTTAATAAATTCATTTGAAAAAGTCCACATTGGACGAAACGCGTTGGCTAATATTACAGTTTTTCAATTGTCTTTTACATTTATAAATATTGTCTTTTTCTACAGGTTAACACTGATAAACTTTTCACACACACACACACACACACACACGCGCACACGCACACACACACACATTATTAATATCGTTTGAAGCAATAATAATAATAATTATTATATATAGTAGTACTTGGATGAATTTTCAAACTTCTGTGCATCTAACCTTGATACGATAACTGTTGTCTAATGAATTGGTTCTTCTATGTTGGCCTTGTAAATAAAGTTGACTCTATTAGTGTCGGTATTCATAAGCCGTGTTTTGAGGATAGTGTTCGATGTTGACTGTTTCCTGAGATGTTCATAAATCATAACACACAGAATATGCAGCTGCGAATCTTACAGGAGCTTCCTAATCTTCACGTTCCAGTCTCGATAGAGTTCAAAAACGTCACCGTGTCCCCGTGAGGAACAAATTATTTTCCACTCAACAACCGCTTCCTCAACAGACGAAACGACGCCAGCCTTTTCGCTGCACCGCCATTATTTCCGTGCAAAGTGTTCAGACAAACTACATTCCTTAGTTCCAATACTTCACAATTAAGACCCTCCACGCCATTCACATTGTAACGAACCACTCTCATTCCCTTCGTATTCAGTTGGCAAAATGTAGGTTCCACTCGAACAGCTTCTTCCCACGAAGCGCTGCTCTGTAGAACCGACTCCGGAGAGGATGCTTTCCCGACCACCACAATCTTAATCTGTCTAAGTCTAGGATTAACCGTTGTGTTCCTCACATATCCATATAAATTATGCCTCTTACTCTGTAGTGATTTTCCAAGCGGACCTTAGATGTGTCACAAGGCCGAAAGTATGGGGCACCCAGTGAGAATCGAACTCACTATTCAATCGTAATGGTTCTAGCGAGACAATCTTGCTAACCATTACACCGCCTTTAGGTGCCCCTGCTTTTTACTTTGTAACACTCTATCACGAGTGACTCACGGGTTTGTACACAGTGTACATCATTATAAAAAACAAAAAAGATATTCACTATTCTGAGCTAAGCAATAAGTGTGTAGAAAGAGTGTATAGAACCATTATCATAAATTGTTTTATAGCGAAATCTACATATTTAAACAAAGGATTTTAACGCAAAGATTCAGCTGCTTGATTTCCTTTCTACTCAAATAATTCCGTTGAAAAATACGGAATTAAACATTGGAATTTGCTTCCAATCTTAAAACACGATTCTGAAAATTAAATGATATATATTCTCAACAGCACATTGTAATTTGTGCCCATGTGAACTCAACATATAAACTCAACACATGTTAACACAACATGTAAAGCACACATCAACTCAACAGTACATTGTAAACCTTTACCTGTGCATTTTGAGAAAATATTTAGTTTTTTAACTGTTGAAATTCGTATTCGTAGTATTTGTTTTACTCCAGAAGATTGGTGCGGAATATTTTTACGGTTTATCAACCTGTTGCAAATTATTTAAAGCCAAAAAATGTTTTCAGATTGTAAGGATGTTTAAGAGATAATAATGATTTACTGATAGAAGTTCTACTAATTGACAAATAGTTGGTGGGGGCGGGAGAAGACGTTTATTCATACCTTTCTCAAGGGTATTTGCACATAGGTGTATATAACTAACCCAACTGGAATTGGATCTCGGCCCTCCGATTCATACTTCCGAGCAGTTATCCATCACACCACCCGAACATCGAAGCTTACAGCACCTGGTGATCCTAAGTGTTTACCCATAGAGGTACTGACCAGATTCGACGTTGCTTAACTTCGGTGATCGTACGAGAACCGGTGTCTCAACCTGATATAGCCGTAAGCCATGCCGCTCGAACATCCAAGTGTACAGCACCTGGTACTCTTAAGTGGTTACCCATATAGATACTGACCAGGTTTGACGTTGCTTAACTTCGGTGATCGTACGAGAATCAGTGTCTCAGTCTGATATAGCCGTAAGCCATACCACTCGAACATCCAAGTGTACAACGTCTGGTATACGTAAATGGTTACCCATATAGGTACTGACCAAGTTCGACGTTGGTTAACTTTGGTGGTTGTACGAGATGCGGTGTTTTAATGCAATATATCTGTAAGCCGTGACTCATTATAACAGAAAAGTTAGAAAATAGATTTACACTAGAAAGGTATTACAGTTTTTTATTTAAATGAGAATCAAAAGGTATCACATTTTATCGGTTTGTCATTGTCGGCCTTTTAATATTGTATCAATATTATTGTATCATCGACCCTTCTGTGATCCTAATCGATGAAAAATTCTTTATTGCGTTTTAAATGGAGTTTGGAAAATCAGTATACCAGTCCTTTCTGTTTATCTTGAGTTCATTTTTTGAAACATCAATGTCTCGGTGTGGCAATCGTAAACGATCAATGACTCATAATCTTGAGGCATTATTGGAATATTAAATGACATCACAGTCATTGTCATCGGCACCATCATCATCAGTCTCTCGACTGCTTCAATCATCGTGGGTGGGAGCCTCAAAGCAGAGGAAACAGAAAACCTCCTCTCAGAAGTTTCGACATTGTTATGTCCACTCACTCTTTGATGTTGTCTCATCAGCGCTTGCGTCCTCTTCAACAGTACCTGGTATGATGATCTTGAAGGGGTTTTTATTCTGCATGACGAGGCCAAACTAACTATCAGGCAAAACGGTTCCTTTTTTATGGAGTTCGAACCCTCTCTGTCCTGCTAGCTCGATTCGGAAAAGTAATAGATACTCCCAGCCCACATTCGTCCCAGACTAAAATATTTTGTTTGAAACTGCTCGGCGATGGATTGTTTTCACAAAAAAAATACATAGGACAAACCTCAAGGAATTTAAATAAAATTTTATATGAACACGAAAGGGACATTTTACAAAACAATATATCAAATGCCTTCGTTACCTACCGTTTCGATACTAACCACAATTTTGACATAAAAATGCTACTATGATCAAAGGAGAAAATAATTCACTAAGACGAAAATGTTTATAGAGTGCCTTGATCACAAGATCATCCACAGCAAATTTGCACCCGGGCTCTTACAACATTTCATCATTTCAAGCAGATCTTCTATTATGAGTGTGGGATGTCTAATAACAAAAATAATGGAAATAATGGAAACAGAAAGAAAAAGAATTTAAATGAAATCGGCTAGATTATACACAAAAAAGTTGAAATATCCCAGCATCTCTCGTTTGTATGCATGTACATATAGTTGCAGCAACGTAACAGAATTTACTCCGATGAAATAGTAAAGGACAAAACGCGTCACACGAAAATTTTTTCCCACTTTGTCATATATTTCTTTCCCCAGTGTTGTCCTTAGTATATAAAAAATTATATATCATTATCTCATATATATACATCTTTCAAGGTGGCGGCCTGACATATCCGGAGTCACGTCGAGGGGTTTGAGCCGATATGATGCAAAACCCGAAATCGGCGAAGACGACATTTCATCACTGAAGACCACCCTTGATGCATCTAAAATGTATTATGCAACGATATATATATATATATATATATATATATATATATATATATATATATATATATTCTAGGGGAAGTAGCTTGAATCTAAAACGGATGAAGTAAAAAGGCCAAAGTATATAGGAGGTGAGCGTAAGAAGCCTTTATTTCATTGGCTGACGTTGACTGACAGGCATTGTCATCGTCACCATCATCATCATCATCATCATCATGGCGGGTGGGGGCCTAAAGCAGAAGAAACAGACAACGCCCTCTCAGAAGTTCCGACATTGTTATGTCCACTATGTCTGATCAGCGCTTGTGTCCACATCAACAGTACCTTGTAGGATGGTCTTGCAGGGGCTGTTATACCGCATGACGTGGCCAAACTAACTAGCAAGCAAAACGGTCGATCTCCTAGCCTTGTCGGAACTCTTCTTTGTAATGATGAGCTGCGATTACGAACACTATGCTATCAAAGAAGCGGCCTGATTCTTCCGGAGTCAGCTCTTTGAGGCGATATGATGCAAAACCCGAAATCGACGATAAGGACATTGCATCACTGAAGACCACTCTTGATGCATCTAAAATGTATTATGCATATATATATATATATATATATATATATATATATATATATATATATATATATATATATATATATATTAGTTTGTTTTGCTTCAATTTTTTTTTTTCAATGAGGGGTGAACCGGTCTTGTTTTAGTTTGTTTTGCTTCATTTTTTTTTTTTTAGTTTTCGGAGTTCATTCCCTCTCACACATTTCATGTTTCATGAATTTTTTGTATATTTTTGTATTTAAACATTTGCAGATTTTTTATATCATGGAGTGTTTTTGTAGGTTCCCGCTGTGAATATGTGGTATTGTGGTATATGTAGGATTGAATGGTGATGAATGAGTTCTTTTGGTAAATGGATAAATTGTATCGGGTGAATGGGTCGTGATCGTGATTAACTAGGACTAGGATAGTTAGTGAAGACCAGCCTTTCTCCACTTTCCACTTTGGCCATGTGCCAAAATTATTGTATTTTGTACAGTAATAAATAATTTGCAATGTCGACGTGCAGATCGGGGTTGCTGTTTGAGCCGATATGATGCAAAACCCGAAATCAGCGATGAGGACAGTGCATCACTGAAGACCACTCTTGATGCATCTGAAATGTATTATGCAACTCGTACGAACGTGAGACACTGGAAATTTTAAATTTAAAAATAAGTTTTTTTAAATGTGTGTTTGTGTATATAATCTCATCGATTTCATTTTGATTCTTTTTTTTTTTACGTTTCCGCCACTTTTGTTATTAAAATATCCCACATTGTGATAAAATGAAAGAAAATCTGCCAAGAAAGTTAAAATGTGTATGAATCTGGACGCAAATTTACCGTAGATGAACCAGTGATTAAATATCGCAATATATATAGTAATTTACTAAGCGTAGCTTAGATGTGGTACAAGGCTGATAGTATGATAGTGAGGATCGAACTCACAGCTCAGACGTAATTGTCTCTAGAGAGACAAGCTAGCTAACTATTACACCGCCTCGAGGTGCCCAAATGATTTTCTAAGCGTGGCTAAGAAACAGCATAAGGCCGAAAATGTGGACCACACAGTGAGGATCGAATTCACTACTAAGCCATAATAGTTCTAGTGAAACATGCATAATCATTACACCATGTTGAATATATATATATATATATATATATATATATATATATATATATATATATATATATATATATATATATATATATATATATATATATATATATATATATATATATATATATATATATATATATATATATATATATATATATATATATATATAAGCTCCATTGTTTGGAGTGCGCTCTCTCCCAGAAACTGGAAAAAAAGGTCTGCTCAGCATAGTTCCAGTATAAGCCACAGGTGGGGTCTGTGGGTGTTGAGCAAAAAACAAATGTTTTGAGCGACAAATCTCAATAGGGCAAGCTAGTCGCCCTAGTAGACGCTTATACTGAATACGAGTGTCCAGATTATATATATATATATATATATATATATATATATATATATATATATATATATATATATATATATATATATATATATATATATATAATTATTTATTTAAAAATATGATTCCATCGCTACATAAGATGTATATACATCGAAATGAATATTTAAGCTTCTTTGTCTGGAGTGCGTTCGAATCCTATGGGATACAAGTATTTACATCAGCTTTATGAAACTATTTTAAATTTATAATGCAACACATGAAATTTCTTATAAGTTTTAACTCGTGCTTCAATTTTGTTTTTAATCTCTTTTCAAATTGATTTGTTGGTACATCATTTTCAGTGTTTCTCTTATGTAATTCACTGATAAGAATTGATTTTTCTAATGTGGAAAATTGATTTTTGTTGACGTGCATGAAAAATTACAGCTGTTGGTCGAAACCTTTAAATTAACCAATCGAAATGAAGCAATAGAAATACCTTTTATTTTTGCATTAAGTACTTACCTAACAAGTTCTTTTCCACACGAGGTTTTACGAAGTGTAACGTTAAGTGAGAAAACTTATGACATTCAATATTTGAACATTCAAGGTGAAGCATGAAGATTTATTTTATAATAAAAAATATGATTCCAACCATCATCAATCCCTTTAACGTCATTACAAGATTAAAGAACTTTTTAACAAAAGGTTTGATATTGCCTTGGCCAACAAGATTGATCTGTTTTGTTGTTAGATACTATTAGGAGAGTTTAGTCTTGATTAAAAGGCAAAGGCTTTTGACTGTCTTGTGGTCAGTGTCATAGCGTACATTAAAATAAAGTCAGTCATCGAAAAGATGGAAATCATATTGAAGATGTTATTTGTTAATATTCCAAATCAATAAAATGATGAAAATTTAATTTCTTGAAAATATGCATTTTTGCCTATATATCCAGACTTTAGGGGCAACCTGTATAATATTCTATAAAGATTATGCTTCACTATACATTTATTTGGTAAGAACATCCGATTTATTCAACAGATATTCCGCTTTCAATTTTCAATTTATTCTTGTTCTGTTGAGAATTCTTTTAATGAAAAAGAAATTATATTCATTGAAATATTGCAGAAGGTACATTGAAAATAAATGAACAAGACAGGAAAATGATGCTAATAGTGAAAATTAAAAATAACACGTCTCTGGAAACTCTGAATTTAAACCTTTGCTGATTTGCGGCCATACCCAATCATAGGAAAGGTTTCGGGAGTAATCCCTGAGGACAAATCAGGAGTCCCTAAGACAGTCTGGTGCTATGTTTAACCTCGTTCTGGCAATTCTTACGACGA